GTCTCCAAAACGTTGGCACTCTGCTGCCATTTCCCACCTCATGCCGGCTCAATATAGGGATCTCTGAAGCTCTCTCACAACAGTAATCCTGAAGATGGCAACTGCAGTTGTCTAAACAGTACAAGCGCTTGAACATCTCGAAAGCCGAATCATACATTTGCCTACGAACAGTGTACTTCCGCGTCGTACTACCTGTGAACCTATGGCCTACATACACGGAACATAAACAAGGGTACTAACGGGCAGGGATGAGAACATGTATGCGATAACCGCACCAACGGCACAGTTGGGAACTACACATACAGAGCACCCATGCCGCTGCAAAACGAACCCAAACACAACGATAACCGGATAGAAACGGCAGCCCCCAAGCAAAAATATTGAAGTTTTAATCGTTTATAATTATTTTAGTAACTTTTAGTAGAGTATATTTAATTTAAATTTGAGATATCACATTCATATTTCATACAAGAAGCTGCACACGCAGTTAAACAATTTCAGCAAATAGTGACATCTGATGGTGGCCGTGTACGACCGAAACATGTAGTGCACACAGAGGGAGATATTAAACGGGTCGCATTGTGGACGGAAGTGTAGCGTGCGAATGAAGAGTTTTAACATATATTTTTATATGTCGGGCATTGAAGGGAAGACCTTTCGTAATGTTACAGAAATAAACATTATTTAATACAATTTCAACATAATTAAACGTTTTAATATTTTAGTAACTTATATTTTAATGTTTTACATACGGTTTTATACATTGGCAATAACATCGACAAATAACAAGCACAGCCTCCACCAACTGTAAACATTGGCCAATGTATGGGAAAACAGCAGCAAAGTCCAGAGTGAGTGTAAATATTTTACCTGAGGATACCATAAAGAGATAAAACATATTGTAAAATAATTAATGAAGTTTATTTATGAATTGTGATGACGGAACCAATAATAAATTTATGTTTTGCTTATTACATTTTCGGACATGAAAGTTTCCTCTTTGAAATTTTGTTTGAAAATATTTGTATTAATTTGAAAGCTATATGTGACTAATCAAAATACATTACGTGTTCTAACTCAGCTTTCCTCAAATGGCGTGCCGTTATGTCTTAAGCTGACAATCATTTCGTTGTATGAATCACCACTGAGTGCAATGACTCGCCTCCATATTGTGGCGTACATCAGAGGACAGTTCCGCTGTGTCTCCGCCCCACAACCTAATCAGCGGCTTGGCAAAGAGTAGAAGCAGTAATCAGATCTTTGCTGCGGTCCAGATACTGTGGAGAGGATCTAACTATACGGAGAGAGAGAAATGAGGATGAAGGAAACAGAGAATGAGAAACCTGAGAAAGAGTTTCCGGTAGTCTTCAATATCTCAAGGAATCGAAATAACAGTTTCTACTGATTTGTAAGATTTGAGGTTTTCACGGCGGCGACTATGAAGAAGGCATCTTCTGAGATGTGGCGCCGTGTAGTTATTGTATTAACCGACGTTTCGGAGGAACGTATCGACTCCATCTTCAGGGTATAACAAAAATCCGTGAGCGAGGAACCAGCGTGGGCATGTGCTATCATCCCAAAAGACTGCTTTCTTCTACTGATTTGCTTGTTTATTTCCCTATGCCATGTTTGATATACTGAAAGTTTGTTGATTATTCAAGGATACTATCAATACATAAGTCATACATTGAGAAGAGTATGAAATATTTTCTTGGAAAATACAAAACTTAAGACGGGTATGTGTTTCTTAGTTGGCTATTAAACGAAGCTCTCATTATCGCAAGTATATTACGTCAAATAGGAATGGATTTGGAAGGAAACGGCTGTAATCTAATGGAGGTGCTAACTGTGCATCAGCGTGGAATGACTGAGGAAAACCACGAAAGCCCTCGGGCAGAGTAGCCGGTGTCCCAGTCGAGATTCGAACAGAACGTTTTCCAAATACAAGTCTGGAGCGTTATCACAAGACAAGCCTGTTCAGTGGGAAAGTGTAGAAAACTGAGAGAGAACTATCAGTTTGAGTGAAGTGAAGATTACCGGCTTCTGGCATGTGATACCGCGTAGAAAAGTGGACCGTTATCAGAGTTTCGGAGGCTGACGCTGTCTCCATCTTCAGAGTAAAAGGATAACCTTAAATTTCGCATAGATTAAAAAAAGTGAGTTAAACAGGGTCCAGTTTCTTGCTTTCATGAATACGTTCATCAGTCTATATTTGTGAGATTTTGTAAAGCCAGTAAATTGGTGTAAAGATGCTACATACAAGGCAAAATGCCTTGTTAAAATGTTAAAATGTGAGTCAGAGGCAAATCGTGGCGAACAAGATGCAGTACTTGGGCTCTCTGTCGCTCTGCTGCACAGTGATTGCCACTTGCTGCTCAGCAAATCGAGTTTGCAGACCTGTTGAAGGCTGGGAACGCTTCATCAGCTGCGAGACCGTGCGTTCAGTTACCCTGATATTCTGGCTCCAAAGCTTCAACAGTCACTCTACTTCTGAGCACGTCCTTCTTCATCGTCTGCCTGATTTCAGATATTCAGCAAATGCCTGATTAAATCATTCAAGCAGGAAGTGCTGAAACCTATTCGAGTTCCAGTGCACTCGAGAGAATTGCACTCTCACTGATAAGACGCATGAAAGCTAAAATACGTGATAAGCAGTGATATTTCCAATGGACGAATATTTTCATCCATTGGTCTCCTTCTGGTTAATAGCACACACTCTGCAAATAAAAGCACGGCAAACGGCGTGCACTTCAGATGTTACAAATGCGCACTTTACCTCCTCGTGTATTGGAAATACGCTACAACAATACTAGAACAAATTTACGTAGGTGAACATTTTCTGCGTTGTGTTACAAGCGTGTGATTGTTTTAAAAGACGTATGGCCACAGAATTTTCTGCTTATTGTTAGGAAATAATTAAGGACCGCACCATAGCTCGACCGCCTCTGTGTTCTAGTAGTCAGAGTTTCTGGCTACAGATCCAGAGGTCCGGGTTCGGTTCCCGACGCTACCAGATTTTCTCACTAGTAATGAGCTTAGAACGGGGTCCACTCATCCTCGTGAGGTTAACTGAAGAGTTATTTCAAGGAAATAGCGGCTCCGGTCTAGAAAACCGAATTAAAGGCCGTGGGGATTCGTTGCGCTGACCACGCGACATCCTCTACCCGCTAAAGTTGGCACTAACTTCGCCTACAAGCAGCGGTCGCTCGGTCGGTATAGTTCGCTTGAGGACTCAAAGCCATGGAGTATAGTTTTTAGTCATAGCTCAGGCGGTTAGTCACCGGCTTCCCACCGCGGCGGCCCGGATTCGAGGCCACGTAAGTTCAGGTGGGATTTGTGGTGAACTAAATGGCACTTGGGGCAAGTTTTCTCCGAGTGCTTCCGGTTTCTCCTCCTAATTCTTATTCCACCGACTGCTCCACATTCTCATCTATCATCCGGGGCTGGTACAATAGGTCAGTTAGTGGCTGACGTAACAAGTGGGCTCAGTCTCACCCCACCCCTAGAAACTATAAAAAAAACTACGAAATAATTATGAGAAACTCTCTTAAAATTTATTTACTTTAACATGTAAAACCGCTCACACTTTTAAACACCAACGGTATTTAACTTATGAATTAGGCATTTCCGACCTTCAAGGTCGCACTCGTAGGCCTGATTTTGTACCAGATTTTGTGCAAACTCTTGCCCCCCCCCCCCAAAATCTCTTCTGTCCTCTGGGATGTAATGTAGTCTCTTCGCAACATTTCCGACTTAACAGCCACACAATCACCCACTCAACAAATCACAGTTACACATTTCATTATCAGATTCATAAATTTAATGGCTACTGAACATCAAGATTTCAAATTGAACTAAAATAACTTTACACCATAAAATTATATATTGCATCATCTCTTCCCGAAAATGCTTCATATCATAGACAAGTAGCATCAGTCACATTGTCACATGCCCATGCAGACATGCGCAGTATAATCCTGTTCTGCTTACATACAGATGTGTAAAGTACGTTGTTGGTGGTTAAACATTCCAGTATGAACACGCTTCTTAAACACGTTAGCACAACAGATTCCGAAATTTCGTGTTTAATTATTAAACGAGTTTTATAAAGTACGAATCTTTAAAATATGAAATCGAGTACTATTCAAATTCAGGACTAATTTTTCAATTATGTTTGTAAATATTGTACACACAGTGTTGCCAAATAGATGTGCTTGAATAATAAAAATACATCTGTGATGGGTGTCCTACTGGCAATCAGGCTATGAATAAGACACATGCATGATGATATTCCGACACATTTTAGCCGGACTGTGCCAGATGTTCTGACGACAGTTGGATGTGTAGAGGACCCACTGCATGGCCTCCACGCTCGCCTGATTTAAATCCTCTGGATTTTCACCTGAGGAGGCACGTAATCACCTTTGTGTATGCAGCTCCTCTTGACAACGAAGAGGCACTTCACATGGCACTGTGGATGCCTGTCGAACCACCCGCAACTGCCCCGGTATCTCTGACCGGATGCGGCCGTCCTTGATAAGACGTGTCGAGGCGTGCATTGAATCTCATGGAGGACACTGTTAGTACTTCTCTGAATGTGCTTCTTCAGAAATTAAACGTTTCCCGACACATTTTGATATGGACATTATTTCTTGTTTTGGTGTGTGGAGCTCGTGACTAAGTTTGTCGGCGCCTTTCAGTTTATAGCTTAACCCACTGAAGCAGTGATACAACGTCCCTTCAGCCCATTCACAAGAAGTAGGAATGTAAGAGGAAGCTGAAGTGATGGGACAGACGCCTCTTAATTTATTTGGAATGAAATGTAAGACTGGAAGGAACTGGGGGCACTGGGTTAACAGAATACAATTAGGATTAAGAATCCAGCCACGACTTTAACTCTGAAATACGGAAAGGAAAGTATTCTGTAATTATTTACGGTATTTGTTCGCGCGTGCCACTTCAGCAACCAAAATCTAACTGTGGGCTTCTTTCTGTTTCAGAAGCGTCTTCGGGGCATGCTCCTGAGCGTCGGGTGCCTGGGGGTTGCACTGTTTGGCCTGCTGCAACTCCGACTTCACCTCATGGGCACTCTCACCCCGGTGTTCGCCACGGCCGATAACCCCACTGCGCGTTGTCCCTCCGCGTATACTCGTACCCTTACTTTCGCTTATCTCCCCGTCTTCAATTTCGGCCTTCTGCTTTGGCCTCGGTGGTTAAGCTTTGATTGGTCCATGGACGCCATACCCAGAATAACATCTCTGTTCGACCCTAGGAGCACTGTAACGTTGCTCTTCTATTACTTGTTTTATCGGGCAACGAAGAGAACATTCTGGAAACTGACCGCACTAGAAAACCATTTGTATCAACAGCAGCAGAAGCCACAGTCTTACCACAGACCCCGGAGACATTCCCATAGGCGCCCCAGTCATATCAGTGCAGCGAACAATATCGTCACAAAGCCCCATGTCTCCACAGTTGCCCCTGCACACACTGGAGACACTGTTAAAACGATGACATCTTCCTCCTGCCCTGTCTGTCGTCACAGCCTCCTAGATCACCATTCTGCCATATGTCGAAATAACAATAATAATAACACTATTCCAATGTTGGGAACGTCATCAGCTCCTTGTTGCTGTAGCAACGGAGTTCCAAAATTCCCACATCAGACACCGATAGCTGATGGTGATGTTAGGAAGAGTACTTATCCCCGAAGACTGCGCCCCACCGGAAAGGCGTACCTGAGCAACGCGGAAATTCTCCTTCTGTCTCTGGCCTTCATCGCTCTCCCATTCCTCCCTGCCACAAACGTATTCTTCTACGTTGGCTTTGTGGTCGCCGAGCGGGTTCTTTACATCCCCAGTGTCGGCTACTGTCTCCTGATTGGACTCGGGTGTAACGTGATTCATTCAAGAGCCAGCAAGAGTTTGGTGTTTGTGGGTGTTGCGCTTCTACTGGCCACGTTCAGCATAAGAACTGTTCAGAGGAATCGTGACTGGGTGGATGAAGAGAGCCTGTACAGAGCCGGCATCCCCGTCAACCCGCCGAAATGTAAGTCATGTTCCAGCTCACTTGCGCAAAAATCACTTATTTTTGATCGTATGATAAAAATTATTGTAAACATTCGGGATCTTCATGCAAACTCGCAGGCATGTTTAAAACTATTCACTGAATGCGGTAAGAATATAATATAATGCGGTAGCGTAGTTGGTTGAGACACTATGTTATAAACCGGAAGGTCACAGATTTTATTCCCGAGAAGGTGGATTTTTTTCTATTTACCTAATCCTTCCAGCCGCATTATGGCCCTGGGATCGACTCAGCCTCTAACAGAAACGAGTATCAGGATTCTTCCTGGGGGTAAAGGACGGCAGGCGCGTAAGGCTGACAAACTTACCGCCATCTGTGAGCGGTTTGTCTAGAAAATGTGGGAATCTCAAAGTCACACAACCCTACGGGCCTTCAAGGCCTGCTACAGGGATAGCTTTACCTTTTTATTACTAATGAAACACATCCAGTTATTTCCGCTCTCTTATTGGACAGTCGAGTCAAAATAAGAATTTATTTCCTCTGATTTCTCTGTTATACGGAATTTGTCATTTGGAAGGTATACATCTGTCGCACGTTATTTACTTCGACGCAGACGTTGCGACGTAACAAACAGTAAATAATTGTTCCGCGACTTTAAGAAACATGAAATGGCGCATTTTTCTGAGGCCTCCTTGGCACTATCTCGCGACCCTTTAGTTTTCTAATGCTGTAGCAACTGAAATGTAAATTAATTTAATCGCTTCTATTATTCACATTTTTCAAAGGCGAGTTTGTGATCATATGTTAATTCCCGTATCTCTAATATTTAGAGTTCAACAGTTCCGTATCCATACCAAATGTGTGGGGTAGGAATACAAAACTGTTGTTCCGTTTTCTCTCAGTTGCAGTTAAGACGAACGTGTTCTATGCCCTTTATTATCAACAAATTCGTTACTCTTAACGCAAATGTAGGGCACAGTAATTCTATTTGCTTTCATAATTTCTTCTTACTCTCGATTAAGGAAATGGTTATGCCCCCAACTCTGAATATGGTGCGTCATTGGCAGTTTTAGATATCCGAAATCATTCGTGTCGACGTCGTCATGGATGACAGAGGCTTCAGTGGCGTGCATATACTTAGTTCTTGGTTTAAATGTTATGTATTAAACAGAGAAGTTGGTTGTTTTTATTATACGTACAATCAACCTCTCTTCTCGTATGACACCCTCCCCTTCTCAGATCTTCCAGAGTATCGTTTAGAATGGCACAAGCGTTAACGAGAACAGAAGGCGCATTATTCAGCTCCATAGACGCCGTTGCATCCTGTAGTTTATTTGGCAAAGCCTGCAGCACCTCAGATTATATGACGTTGAACGTTAGCATGATTTAATGAACAGCAATTTGGAAAGAATGTAAAAAGAAATGGCCGTGATCGAATTTGAGCTACTAACCCAACATGTAAGTGGAGAGCCTGAAGAGAACCACATCGCGACAGCTGGTGTCCTGGCGTTACTGCTTGAGCTACGCTTCTCAGTTATGCTAGTCTCTCTCTCGATTCCTGGGTCCGTGCGCAAATCATGAAATATAAACACATAAAAAAGCGTGCCTTTTCTGTTCCTGACGTTTCCAACTTCTTGCTGATGATATAACGAAGGACACCGCAAGCACTAAATCTATTCCGTATAAACCTCTTTACCAATATGTACGACAGTCACGTTTCCTAAAGCGATAGGTATGTATTTCGGTAGAGTTTTGTAGTCTGTTCGAATTCTCATTCTCAATTCCTGTTTTAAAAATTACTTTAGTAAAGGGTCAACTTTCAGTTCCTGTCATTCCTTGTTTGAAGTTATGGTCTCTAGACTCTATATAATGTGACGGACAAGAAAACAATCATACAAGAACGGCTACTTGTTCTTGTGTTTGATATGATGATCCTGCCTCCAAATTACACTTTCCAGAAGCAATTTGCCACGTAAGAAAGTACTGAAACTACCTTTGTTTTATATTATGTTTGTTGTTCTCGCAGACCTTGTTGTGCAGAAGATTCCGAGAACTTCCATTGAAACTTTGAGACATAGTTGTATTGCGAACGAATGAAAAGTTCAAACGAGTTCCTCTTTTATACAAGTTCAGTTCTTTTATTCAGGTATTCCATGAAGTTTCATGAATTGATACTCCTGAATTCGTCTATAGGTAGCAGCACCAGCAGAGGTAACAGTAGCAGTGAGAGTGTCAGGAGCCGTTTGCTGAGATGGAATGAATATGAGGCTGCGATATTTTGTTCCCTTATTGTGAGCGAAATTCTAAGTACGAAATAAATAAGGTATCTTGAGGTAAATCTACATGTCAGCCAGAGGAGGCGACTGAAATTTATTAGAAGGTATAATTTCCCACTTTCTCCCCTTACTTAGTTCTGTCTTCCTGTAAGCATGATGCTACAATTGAGTGTGTCGAGAAATCACATCCTTGAATTCGCTTTAAATTTACTTCAGCCGTCCGCCATCAATAGATAGATATATACCTGATTTTCGTTTTCGTAAAACGTGCTAAAGAACGCTTAATGGGGAAAAATTATAAGGGCCTTATGTGGAATTAAAAGAGACAAAACATAACGTCACGATTTAGAATAATTATAGACGTGGTTTTGATTGGTGAATAGATTTGTTGACCACTTACCGGTCGTAACCACAAATAACTATAACACTATTGTTGATTTCCACAAAGTTTCCTAATTCTGTTCTCACTAGTCGTTACTTGTTAACAGCTCTCAACAATGGCTAGACGTTTCATAGTAACGAATCTTAACAATGGAGACTCTTCAGCTTCTGTGGTCACGCCGGTTCCCGCTGGGTAACACTTCGCAACAGAGCTCTCAACGTAACTGCAGCTCCAATTGTCCTCAAGAAAACTTCTCGGCACGGACTATGCATAAAACAGCTCCTCAGTTGTTGCAGAGGCTTGTAGAGTTATAACAATGGTCGCAGCGCGGGCTACATAGAAAGAACCGTTCTTCTATTGTTGCGTACATGTTGCGGGCGCTGCTTCAGAGCCACTCTTTTAACAACGGATCTATACTCCACAATAATATTCGCTAGTGATTCATAGGACCTCGATAATTACATACTGAAAGGAGGAGAAAACATCAGAGGAAAAATCCATGGTAGACGGGAAGTGGGGGTTATATGCTCAGTGTTCTCGCAGAAGTGGGCTATGTTTTGTGTCATTAACTTAGTCGGCCATTTGGTTTTCTGGGTACTTGTAAAATGTTTAATATTTTTTGCAACTTCCTTCCATTTCTCTCACTTTCGTGTGTGTTGGAGGTCTTCTCTATAATATATGAGTGTAACCAATCACAAATAATGGTCATATGATATAACTATACATTGTAAATTAAGCTTATTTCAGTACCTGTTTCTATCTGGCGCTCAAGTTTTTTTTAGATTTTTAGAGTCCATAATTGACGTCGCGGTACTGAAGGAATGAATGCTGAACCAGAGGTTGTAACTATCATCCTCCCGCCCCCTTTTCCTCCACACACGTATTTCCTCTCCGTGGAAGATGTGTAGCAGCAGCCTGATGAAAATACCTCATCCATAGGATATTTCCAACTTTGACTACATGCGGCAGCACCAGTTTGTACCAAACTTTGTGGCTGCCAAGGATCACTTCATGAATTATGGAAAGATCTCTCAATAGACTTTCTCAAAGTCTTCACCTCGTCTCACTCCATAGCGTCTCTCTTTCTCTTTAACCATCTTTGACTCATCTGTAGAAGAAGAGGTATCATTGATAAATCTAAGGAAAACTCAGGAAGATAAAAATACAAAGAGGCTCCTGACTTTTGCAGAGGAATGAAAATATTTGCCTTTAAGAAACCTAATATTGATGCGATCCTACCCTCGTATCTCGTCTTGTGTTCTTCAATTTTTCATCAAAAGGTGGTTGGGTTGAGGATTCCTACCTTCGAAGAAGAGCTTACAAAAATAAAGAGTCTTCACGTGAACGCCACGTGCAACAGAGAGACGCGGACGAACAATATTGTCACGTATAAGGGGTAGCGTGACTAATAACCATGGGTTCTAGATTTCATGATTGGGTTTACTGGACGTCTCTATTACAGTTACACTTGATTACAACAGTTCACACATTGAACTCCTTGACAACGAATCTCTCGCTGTATTTCTTCTGGTTCTCGGACCGTTCTCTAGTCTCTAGTCTTCTGCTGCTCAGTACGTGTGACTCATTCCTGCTGAGTCTTGAGTCTGAGTCTTATGTTACGACCGATGGTCGGTCTGTCTAGGAACAGAGCACCTATCTGGGGCCTCACAACCAGATTTATATTCTCATACAGTTGCTGTTTTCGTACGTGGGGCGCTCTCTCTAACGAGAGGACAGGTCGCTGGCCATCGCCAGGACAGTCATTCTCGGGTCCGAGTCCCGTGGACTCGCGACCATATTTTACTGTCTCAAATTCGATACTTCCCTTTTCGTCGCCTTCTACAACTCGCGGGACAACGGTGGAGGTATTTGACTCTGCCTCCTCAAGGGATAATCATTCCTTCCAATCAATTATGTGTCCCTTCACGACCCGGTGCGCACCGCAGACAGAACACCATGTCTTACAGTTCCTCTGATTCTGCTCATCCATTGCCACGGCAATTCGTTACTGCGGAAACAATGTTTACCTAGCCGTTGTCTAGCAACAGACGTCTCTGTTGTGTTTTTCTGACTGCGCACTTTCGGCTTTCTGGCACAATGTCCCTTAGATATACCCTCCTCTTTCCACAACCATTTTACAAGAAGTGTGTATGACATTAAGAAACCTATGCTACCACCAGAAAGAGGCACCTAATATCAGTGTTCTATGACCTCCATTTTCTGCAAGGAAATGTGTTATTGCCAAATACTTTGAATCGCTATTGGAGCACTCGGCTTGCAGATTCGAGTCTTTCAGAGAACGACGATTATTTACCTTGGGATGGTCACATACTTCATCCAGATGTTACTGAATATGGAAATTC